TTATGAAAATGAAAATGCTAATACTTATATGAATAGAAAGTAGATGTGTTCTAATGACTTGGAAAAATATCACGTTTGTCTCACATGTCCATAATTAATCCCTAATTAGCTAATTTAGGAGAGAATTACCAGCAAAATTCGAATGATCAAAAAAGGTCATTTAAGATTGGTTAAAATTCTTAATTATATGCAATAAGAACAAAAAATCTTGTTACTAGGGAAACTCAACCATTATATGCTTTTGTCAAAAGTTGAATTTTTGGGGAAAAAGTTGCTTTCTGTTCTTAGTTTAAAAACTTCAATGAAAGAATAATCAACTTACAATTTTTTGTCAACAGATATTTTTGGAGAAACACAGATCCTTGAGAGAAAAAATTAATCATTAGATTGAGATTTTGTGAATTGTGTGTGTATTTCATCATGAAATTACCTCAGCTCTTAATACAAGATTTACCTACTTAAGTGAAACATGGTAGAATTATGTGATATTTTGCAGAGACAATGTGTAAATTGATGAACAGTTGAGTTGTTTCCCAGGATAGAAACTGAAGTGGATGTTTTTTTATATTTTTCATGGAGACAAGTCTACTGCACCTTGTACAACTTTGACATTTAATTTAATCCCATTTTGGTGAGACAAGCATGCCCCATGGCCTGTCTTGACCTCTCATGTTTAAGAGTTTGAGTGGAGTAGACTGGAGCTCTAGTTGGCTTTAGATTGTTGACTGTATTTACCAGTCTTATCAGACTGTTGTTTTGACTGTATTTATCATTATTGTCTGTCTAGACTGTTGATTAAGCTGTATTTACCAGGCAGAGCTGACTAGAGCTTTAGATGATTGATTTGGCTGTATTTACCAGCCATTTCTGACTAGAGCTCTAGACTGTTGATTTGATTGTATTTACCAGTCATGTCTGACTAGAGCTCTAGACTTGTGATTCAGCTGTATTTACCAGTCATGTCTGACTGAAGCTCTAGACTGTTGATTTGGTTGTTTTTACCAGTCATGTGTGACTAGAGCTCTAGACTGTTGATGTGATTGTATTTACCAGTCATGTCTGACTAGAGCTCTAGACTGTTGATTTGATTGTATTTACCAATCATGTCTGACTAGAGCTCTAGACTGTTGATTTGGGTGTATTTCCCAGTCATATCTGACTAGAGCTCTAAACTGTGGTTGTATTTACCAATCATGTCTGACTAGAGCTCTAGACTGTTGATTTTGGTGTATTTCCCAGTCATATCTGACTAGAGCTCTAAACTGTGATTGTATTTACCAATCATGTCTGACTAGAGCTCTAGACTGTTGATTTGGCTGTATTTCCCAGTCATATCTGAACTGTGGTTGTATTTACCATTCATGGTTGACTTAATCCTTGTGATATTTTGGATAATGATGTTTAAATACATCTTTGAGGAGGTCTGTCCACAATCTGACCAGGGAGAGTAAAATATTCAAATCAAGATCAATATAAATTGTTTAATGAAATTAGTTTTTAGTAATTTCGTGATGATTGATCCCCATATTTATGTCAAAAAGTCACTTTTCCCCGAATTTCTAGCCAAACTGGAACCCTGGTGGGTAAGAAGGCATATCTGTCTAACCGTTGTATTTTAAAAGGGTGTAATGACACAACGCAATCGCCAGTATTGAATGTCAGTATGTAATATAGTGCAAGTTGTCACGTTGTGCTGAGACCGACTGCCGTGATGTTGACAATTTACACCTTGATGTATTTATTTGTTAATTAAGATACAGGTGTGAAAAGTAATTAACTAACGAAGTACAGGTAAAACTTGATGCAAGTCTTTCAACCTGGTGATGTAAAATAATATCTGTTACATTCCTTCACAAACTATCATTTGTCTCATTGTTCGTCTGTTTGTTTTATTTTTTAAGAAAAATTCCAGATCTCTTTATGTTTATTTTTTTGTCATTTTTGTTATTAAGTTTGCAACAATTTTGAACAAATCTCAATCTGCTTAAAATGTAGTTAATGGATAT